TGTCCTCGGCCTCCTAATAAGCCTGGTGTTAGGAAATGTTCTGAGACTGAGGAGAAAGCATTGCTTCTTTTGAAATTGAGGGGGAAAACATGGAGAACTGCTACTGTTTTGAAGATCTGCAGTGACATCCCAAGCACCACTTTTTGTTTTAAAATACCAAATATTAAAACAGGCACATACCTATTTTCATGTTTAAGCCTTAGTTAAGAAAGGCAGGAAGACTTCCTCAAATCCTGTTAGCCCCCAGCCTTCCTTTTCAAGAAACCCCAGAAAGCACCTGAGCCCTCACGCGCGTGGTGCTGTCAGAAAAGAAATGCTGAGGTGCCTATTTTCTTTCCTAAACCTCTAAGGTAAAAGAAAGGAGATGACATTCTGGAGCCACAAAGGCAGACAGATGGCAGCACAGCAGCCTGGACACACTTCTGCCCTAGTGAGTTGGGACAATTTCCCAAAGTGGGACAGTCACACCGCTCTCTCATGCCCCATTTTGAAAAGCATGTGCTTAGGAGAATGCCTGAATGAGCCTGGACGGCAAACTTGGTAGAGAGGTATTGTTCTCTCTGATTCCACGATCCCTGGCTAATCTGCTTCCTCCTTTGATGGCTCCATACTCTCGTCTGAACTTCCCTTCACTCAGCCCTGCAAATTCTCCCACCACAGCCGGCTGTTCCCAGGCCGCCATGGCTTCCATCCTCCAGAGGTTCGCCTGATTCCCCTATCACCCCAAACTCCATCATCACTGACACAGACAGCCTCTCCTGCTTAGCTGATATTGTTTCCATAGTTCATAATCCTGCACTTGTTCATTTCTTAGCCTCTTCCCTAGTCTGATGGCGATGAAGATAAACACAACCGTTAACAGGTATGGAATTCTAGCCTTATGTCAGGTAATGTGTTCCATTCACTAATTCATTAATTTGCAAATTAGGTATATTGCTACACCCACTCATTCGAGCTAATGTGACATCTCATTAGTAAGCCAATTTTCAGTGAGTAGCTACTACAGCCGCACATATTGCTAAGTATTGAGTAGAGATGAGTCAGACTGAGTGACAATTAGCTCACAATAACAGTAACACAAGAAGCTGAAGCTCTGAAAGGTCAATTAACTTATCTGTGGTTACACAACCTACTAATATGAGTCAGAACCTGACATCCCCATTTCTGTCCCAGGCCCACATTGCTTTGCTAAACTACACTCACTGTGGCCCAGGCTCATACTGATAATGCCTTAAGCCATTCGTGTCCCAAGGAAATTCACAGAACCAGCAAACTGTCCACTAGCAAATCTCAACCCTCCACCTTCCACAGATCCACGTCACAATCCAAGACCTAGCTCTTCACTTTGAAATTTTTTTTTTAAAGATTTATTTAGTTATGCATACAAGAACTGGGGTACAGGCCAGAGGTGTGGGTGGTTAAGAGGATTCACCAGAGACAGAGTGCGGAGCAGAACAGGCAAATCGAGTAAAGCATACTATTGAGGGGAGCAGCAGGCAAGACAGGAGAGATCTGCACCATGTGGGTCAACTCCCTGGCCGGGGACTGAAGTTGTGCTTCAGTCGCCACAGATGGATCCACAGCACTGTCGTAAGCCCTTGTATCACCAGGAAGGTCCCTGACTTTGAAAATCTGAAGCATCCAGATTCAATGACCTCTGAACGTTGGAGACCTTAGTGGAAGAGTTTCAATAAACAACACTGGAATTATTTTCTGAAAAGCCAGACAGAAAGCTAACTCATGTCCAAGTATCTGTTCTGAATGCAAAGAGAAGAGGGCATCTTATTTCCACAAGTAAAACAGATCAAACGTGGTTCCCCACCGATGAAAACTAACAGGTTTCATTTTGTTTTCATTTTGCTTCCATATAAATCTGCCCACCATGTTGTATAAAAGGAGAGAAGGTTATCATAAATCTGCCCACAAACTCATCTAGAATATTAATGTTGACTATCATAACTGGTCAACTGTAGCTGGAAATGTTTTAAGAAATTCTTAGGAAAGGAAACTAGTGGAGACAGAATTTAAGACAGGAACATAAAATCTGCTATTTGCAGATGTGCTGACATAACTAACAGTTTTCACCAATAGAATGAGTGTATATTGAAGGTTATATTTAATGTGTCTTTCTGTTCATCATCCAAAGTTGCTTGTAGCAGCTAAAAACATGAGTATTTCTCTGAAGCAGCTCAGATACAAAATTTACAAAATGTTTTGCAGATCATTTATAGGAAAATATCTCTTCAGAAAATATGACATAAACAGCTTGCCAGTATGGTAGAAAAACAAAATGTTTTTTGCTTAGTTATCAGATTCTTGAAATGCAACCAAAGAAAGCAACATTTGCTTTCAAGTAATCTTCCATTACTTACCAGTTTGAGATCCTTAGAGGACAGCTTTGTGAACCACTGGTTATACTCCAGGGCAGCAATAATCGGGATTAGGTCCCTACAAGCAGAAATAACAAAATACATGAGAAGTGTTCTTACAACCGTCATACTGGACTATATTTTTAATCCATGACATCCAGGCTTGCTTATTAATTTCTGTTATTGACAACCAGAACACCTAGTCAGAACTCTTTCGACCACTAAACAAATTCTCTACGGCAGAACCTCAGTATGATATAAACAGAATTCCTAAAAGTGGCAGTTGCATTACCTCTAGGGACTTGATCCCTATTTCCAAAGGAAAAGAGATTGGGTAGCAGCATTTGCTTGGAGTCCCTCCTTGCTCCAAAATATAGTGTATGTTAATCCCATTCTAACAAGTTTTACATCTTTTTGCCATTCCTGCCATCAATGCTGTCTGACATTCTCTAGTTGCTGTGCCAGGTCTGATAAGTGACACCACACGGCTCCCCAATGCTCAGCAAACTTCCAGCAGTTAGTCAGCACTTTCTCAGAGTCCTCAGTCCTGACTGCATACATGCGATGACCCAGGCACTGTAGTGTCTAATGCTGATGACCTCTCTTCAGCCATGGAGTGAAGCTATTTCCATCACAAATCTGCCTCCACTCCATTTTCCCACTTTGATCTCCCACAGCGTATCTCTGTCTCTCGCTCAAGCCAAAAAGCAGACAATTCACGCATCAGCCACATCACACAATTTCACAATTGGAATCATCTTTTCCGCTGTGTTCAGCTACGAAAAGCCATGCATGAGGCATCCTCTCTGCTGTAACTATCCTCCTGTCACCCTGTCAATCCACTGCTTGCATCTCCATTCAGCATATTCGTTCTGTCTTTCAGACCACCCAGGTTGTACGTTTTTTTGAAATTCAAGAGTCTATTTCAGTTTCATAGCTTCAGGCAGTCCATATCAGTTTTGTCCTGAGGAAGAACAAGTAGCATTTTTTGCCTGAACTAGAAACTAAGAACTGCAGAAAGTGGAGAAAGATCTGACAATCAACATTATTGCTTAGCTTCTGGGTAGCAGACTGATTCTAGTCACTGATAATCGAATGCCTCATTGAAATCTCAAAACAGACTCAGGAGATATTATTGCTTACGTTTTACAGAAGAAAAAAAAAAACACATTAAGAGACAAACAGTGAAGCCAGCTCAAAGGACAGAACTACGGTGGGGCCGCAGACACTGAAGCGACACATGAGTGCAGGCTCTACACACAGGCTTTACAGAGGTGAAGTAAATGCCCATGGGCAGGAGGGCAAAATGTCACACGAGAATCAAGGATCTCAATCATGGCACTCCAGGTGCCACTTGTTCTACTGAAAATCATTTTTATTATTTTTGCATAAGTTTTAGATTGAAAGGTAAGAACAACCGTTTCACAGTTGTTTTAGGTCTTCATCCTCTTCATCTCTCCCCATTGAATGAGCTGCAGGAAGCTGCCCTGTTGCTGAATGACAGGTGTGGTTCCACTCCATTATCAGGGCCCTTACAAGCCGGCTCAAGAGTCTTCTCCAATCCTCCACTGCTCAGGAACTCTGGCCAGTCATTCTCAACTCCTCTCCTTTTGTAGATTGAATGCCAAGAAGTGAATACTTCAGAACCTCTTTATTCAGCATGTATTCTCTTCTGTCATTTGACTTGAAGTGCAGCTAGCTTTCATCATAACAAACTCATTTTCAGGAATTTCTGAGCACATCATCAACAGAACCAGGTTCTCCACTGGTGCAGTGGTAGCACATCCTCTCTCCATCTGACATGCAAAAACCTTGAAATATACATTCTGATACAACGAAAAGTTGAACCTAACATTTAATAAGCCAGTAGTCAATTTTTTAAATATCCAGTATTTTAGGTGTGATATAGTAATTGGTGAGAGCTGCATATAAAATGATAGCTATGAAAGCTTACAAATATAGATGCTGTTTGTTTTAAGATTTATTTATTTATACATAAAGAACTGGGGTACAGGCCAGAGGTGCGGGGGTGAGAGGGTTCACCAGAGACAGAGTGGGGAGTAGAACAGACAGATCAACAGACAGATCCCCCTGCTGAGGGGAGCAGCAGGTACGACAGGAGAGGTCTGCTGCGCCATGTGAGTCACCTCCCTGGCCAGGGCTTCAACTCAAGCGTCAGTGGCTGGTGATAGCATGATGGTGCTGTCTTTCACCCTGTACCACCAAGAAGGTGTGTTTCCTTTAAGAGAAGGGACTGTACTAAAATGTCAAGTACTTTTTATTCTACCTAGCCAGTAGTATTAAAGGTGGTATCAAATTTTTTCTAACATAATTCTGTATTTTTAAAAATTTCCTATGATGATCCATATTCATAACCTAAAAGAGTTTGAGAATTAAATGTTCTATGGATAGCATAAGTAAAATTATGTTCCAGAAAACAAAATTGCCCAAGAAGATAACGGAAATTTGTGCATGCTAGCAAAATGTGATTACCATATTTCTCCAAATTGTGTTTATGCCCAGACGTTTTAATGAGATAGTGACAAGTCTTAGCTCATTCAATAAACATTTCTTTAGGACCTACTAAGTACTGAGCAGGGTTGTTAGGCACTGAGGGTTAAGTGATAAGTAAGAGCAGCGCTCTTCCTCCTCTATACTTCAGGACTGAGAAACACTCAATACCCAGGTACACTCAGTAACACAACAGAAGACATGGTGAGTAGGGGCATGTCCAAAATGCCCTAGGAACTAAGGGAGGCACAAATACTTCAACCTCAAATAGAAGGGGAAGGGCCCACAGGGACTGAAAGATTGGAAGAGGCCAAGAAGGCAAGCAGATAGGAATGGAATCGCTCAGGAAGTTAGAAATTGTACATACGAAGGCCTGGGAGCCCACATGTGTCCAGCAACTCCATTCATTCATACTTTCACCATGGGCCATCCACTGTGTGTGATTCACTTGATGTGACGAACAACATAGCGAGATGGCCATTCCTTGGTGATACTGATAACCTATCACCACAGACTCAGAGGGGGGAATTATATTAGAATAAAATAATCCCTAAAGAGTAGAGGGAATATGAGGTTCTTTGGTACATACAAGGGGGACCTTAGTAGAGCAAAAGCAAGTCAGAGAAGATCCTCACAGAAAGTTACTGAACTTTCAGAGATGAGGGAATGTGGTGCAACACATATTCCAGACAGAAGAAATGGCCAGTCAAACAACGTATGGCTTAGTCAGACCTTTAAATTGGATCAAAACAGCATTACCCATAAAAGAAAACAAAATTCAGTTGGATTTTATCAAAATCAAAAAATGTATGTTCTACAAAAGAAGATATTAAGAGGTTGATAAAACAAGAAACACACAGGGAGAAAATATTTGCCATCATATTCCTGACAGAGAACTTGGCATCGAGAATGGATAATGAACGCTCAAGTCAGTATTAAGAAACAACTCAATTTTTTAAATGGGCAAAAGATTAAAAGATACTTCATCACAGTAGATATAAGGATGGCAAATAAGTACACAAAAATAATGCCTGAAAGTATTGAAGAAATGCAATTTAAAGCCAAAATTAGATGCCACTACAAACCTATGTAAGATTGAAATTTTTAAAAATCTGACAAGAGCTGACAAGGATGCAGAGCAACTCAAACTCACAGACACTGCTGATGGAATGCAAATTTCACACACAGTGTGGAAAACAGTTTGACAGCATCGTAAGTTTAACATACATTTACCATTTGATCCAGCAATCACACTCCTAGGTATCCTCATCCAAGGAAAATACAAAATTATGTGTACACAAAAACCTCAAGCTGGATACAACACAGTGACCCTCCAGTGACCCCGTGTGACTTCCAAATCCAGATTAGCAAAGGCAATAACATGGGTTCTGCTTAACTCTCTCTCTCAAACTGCTTAACCATTAAATCCAGTTCTCTAGCTCTGAAGAAGTCAGTCCACCTGGGAAGGCCACATACTGCCAAGGTCAATTGCTACTGAAAGCCAGCTACTTTGGCAGTGGCAGGAGCAGTGGTTTTCTTTGAACCTGCTGCACCACCACAACTTGGCTGTGGCAATGGCTCCTCAGAGACCTTTTATGTAGCAGTGTACTTCCTGGATCATGGAATGGACCAATGAGGTACAAGCTATGAGCTGATTGGTGCTAAATGGTCCAATCAGACTTTTGCTACCAGGACCCGGTTTCTCACCACAGTCAGTTGTGGCAGTTGCTCCTCAGAGCTCTTTGATGTAAGATGCACTTCCTGGTTTGTAGAAGGGACCAATCAGCCACAGGATTGAAAAATGGTCCAATCAGACTTGTGGGTGGGTCACCCTGAAAGAGTATATAAGCCAGGGTCTGAGGGAGTTGAGAGGACAGACAATACAAGCCTCCCCAAGAGGGAGAGATGATCACTTCACTGCTGAGAGAGATGATGCCAGCCCAAGCAGAGATGCCAGCCCCTGAAGAAAAGAAGATGGTTCCAGCCTCCAAAGACAGAAGAAAAGATACATCCAGCAGCTGACCTTCAAGGAGGGCAGAGAAACTGAGGGGCCCTGTCGCAAACTGGGCCTTGGTCCTATCTCTGACATTGCCTGAAAGGAACACCACAGGGCCTGGGTCTGGTGTCTCAAAAAGCTATTTGTTGTTGGTGTAACCCAACAACTCACAAAGAGCTGTTTGTTGTTTTAACCCAACAATTCACAAAGAGCTAACACTTGGTGTCTCTGACACCGCCTCTGCAGGACCAGTAGTGACCATCACTACTGGCCAGGGCTGTCTAACTCTATTGGTGACCCATAGGGACCATCACCGATGCTACCTGGGTGACATAGCACCATTTATGAATACAGAGAGCTCGTCATTTGTACAATAGACCCCCACTGTGGTTGTTCCTGGAGCTGAGGTCTCTTTCAGTTGTGCACGTGGGTGAGCGCCCAGTGAGCTTTCCTCTTATCGGGCACTATCCCTTTGCTAGGGGCAAGAGCCCACAGGCCCCTATTGTGTGGGTGTTTGTACTGCTATAGCATTTACTTTTGGTTTTTGGCCCTTGGGCTTTTTGATGGCTTTC